AAGAGAGTGGGTGAGCACTCACCTTTCTTTCCAGGGAATTGTGGAGGGGGCAGCTCTTCCTCCTGGGCAGGGATGGCTTCCTGAGGGTGAGGGGGCTGCACTACAGAATGGGGAGGGTGTGAGCAGCCCACCCTTTCTCCTAGCGAGGGCCAGGAGAGGGGGCGGGGCCTCTTTCCTCCTCTCTATCTGAAGAGCAGAGGTAGGCTGGTTTAGGAACCTGGAGGGGTAACTGAGAAGGTGTGTGGTGGTCTTACCTCCCCTCTGTCCCTCCAAGGGACGGCCATGCTGAGAGGTGTCAGGGTGATCCATAGGAAGGCTTTGGATCAGAGGTGGGGAGGGGGGTGCTGCATAGCCAACTAGAGGCAGGAGGGGAGACAGTCAGAGCCCACGGCTCCTCCCAGACTCCCAATCCTATGCTGCTCCCCCAAACTCTTACCTTCGTGAAGGTGCTGCCTGAAGTGCTCCGGCCTCAGCTCCCTTTGCCCTGGACCCTTGAGGCCTGGAGGGAGGAAGGGCAAGTCAGGGGCAGCTATGGGGAGCATATCCCTGAGCAAGGGATGGGGAAGCTGTGGAGGTCAAGAGTGTGAGAGAGAGAACCGAGACACGAGAAACCCCTCTGTGTCCACCTGCCCCGTGTCCCCTAATCCTCCAACCCCGAACACATCTAGGCATGACCTACTGGGTTCTGAGAAAGCCCGTGACGTTCTGTAGCTCTGCTTCTACCTGGCTTAGAGGCTGGGCCTAAAGGGAACGTGACATACGGAGCTGAGGAGGGAGGCCCTAATTTCCTCTGCTAGTGTCTTTCCCTCAGGGCTTGTGGGTTGTCCTCACAGCCTCTGCGGTGATGTTTCTCTGGCTTTCAGAGGAAAAAGTCCAGACTTGAGCTGGTTGGATCCTCACCTGCCCACCTCCTCCTCCAGGCCCTTGAAATGTCTTTAAACATCTTTCAGGTAAGGAGCCCATCCAGAAGTTTCAGTGCCCCCCTCAGCTAGTCTCAGCTCCTCCTTAGTTTAGGTCTCAGTTTAGGACCTGAGGGACTGGGACAGGCACAGGGAAGAGAATCAATTGTAGTGAATCTGCAGGCACAAGAGACTAGGAACTGGGAGGGACAATGACACAGGGCTTTACAGAGATACAGACTAGACCTATTGACATTCTCCCAAAAGTTTCCCTCAGAAGTTCTTGTTTTGTTCAGGCATCAAACCAGATAAAGATCAGTGGCTCTGTGAGCAAAGGCAAAACAAGTAAGAAAACAAAAGGAAAAAGCAGATAAAGAATGTGTATGTGCTAGACAGAGGGTGGGTCTGTGGATGGACGCCCCTCCCCTCCTCTGATCAGACAGGGATTCAGTTGGGGCTCCGTGAGTCTGCAAGCCAGTTTTGAGCAGCCTGAGGGCCCCTTTTCCCTCCCTACATACATCCTACCTGCCTAATGGCATCCTCCTCAGCAGAGGTCCCTTCCCCTGGGAATCTGCCCGCCCCCTCAGTTGTCCACTTGACTTCAATTTGGTGTTTCTTGGCAGCAACCTCTAGGAGCCCCTCCTGTGCCCCTGCCCCCACTTCCCTGGCTAAAGGCTTCAGTGCCCAGGTTCCCAGTAGGCCTGCCCGGAAAAGGGAGGCCAAATAGAGAATCATGCTGCTGGGGATGAGCTGTCTGGCATGTCTGGACCCAGACCGCTGCCCGTGCTGACCCCCCCAACTCACCTCCCTCGGAGGCGGCAGAAGCGACAGCCAAACAGGCCAAGACCCAGGCTGCTCTGGACACAGTCCCCATCCTGGGGTAAGGTCTGGTCACTGGCCACCCAGAAGGTGGGTTCTCTCTGGCAGATCTAGATTTGAAGGGCCGGGCTATTGGAAGCCTGCTTCTCTGGTTGTTGTTACTGCTGCTGCGAACTTCAGGGCTGCCTCTTCTCCTCTTTATATGGCCTTCTGGTGCTATTTCCCGCCCTCCTTAGCTTCCGGCCATGACTCAGTCCCAGCTGCTCCTCCTCTGGTGGCCACTCCTCCCAAAGTCACCCTGAAGCCTCTTCAGAGGATTGAGAAGAATGGGGGTGATGGGAGGGGAGCATTCCTATGACCCCAAGAGAAACTGATTCAGAGAATCATGGAGCAAGAGATGTTTGAGCCCTTAGTCTGTGCCTCAATTTCTCTGTCTGCACGTTGCCTTCTGTGGAAAAGGGATCTGACAACCTATTGAACTGGGGTTGGGGAAACAGGGCACTAAGAGTTTACAGCGGGGAACAGGACAGCTATCCAAGGGAGCTCCCCTACCATAAGAGATCTAGGCTGTCCTTTTTCAATTTCTCCAACTCTCTGGGACAAAAAGGAGAGAGGTAGAGTAGAACTTCCTTTTATCCTCTCTCTCAGGAGTCAGAGATGAAGACACATACCCAACAGCTTCAAGTTTATTTATTTTTTAGTTTCACTCTCCTCACATCCAAACAGCCAAAGCCTCCCTCCCTTTGTGGGGTCCCCAAACCAAGGCTCTTTTCAGGAGAGCAGACACATGCCTCCATATGAGTTCTGAGGATGCTGGGGGACTCTAGACTGTCAGTTAGGTTGCGGTCTCCCATGTTACTGGAGGCTAATGGCTCTTTTGGTCGGTCTTTGCTTCATCTATGTACAAAGGCTCAGAAAACTTCTTCAGCATTTGGGACCCTGGTGTTCTGTAGTTCCACCAGCCGCTGCACAGCCTCAGTCAAATTCCACTCCCCAAGCTGACGATTATCTCGGGTCCGAATGTTCACTGTTCTCTTACTTTGCTCTTTCTGGCCAACCACTGCAGGAAGAGGAAGGGAAGTTTAGGAATTTCAGGGCAAATTCATCCACATGGGGTATTTCCTTTTGCTATGCAGAAATTTAAGAGACCTAAATCTTTAGGAAGGGTGGGAGCAGAGCCCAGATATGGTTCAAAGAAAGGATATATTTAGCTGTGTCTGCTCTCCAGTTCCCTGATCATCCTGAGCAGACAGGGGAATGTTCCAGCCCCTGCATGCCTTATCACTTTCCGTCAGGAGCCCAGGGGTCAGAGACACTGGAGTCCGGCAGAAAAAGACAAACAGATTGAGACCCAGACACAGAGAGAGAGAGAGAGAGAGAGAGAGAGAGAGAGAGAGGAAAAAGAGAGAGAGTGAGAGAGTGTGTGTGTGTGTGTGTGTGTGTGTGTGTATTTGGTGGTGGTGGGGATTAGAGGAAGGGGAAGATGGTAGGGGTGGAACAAACATGTACAAGTATGTATGTACAGGATTGTGGCACAATTTGCTCTAAGTGTTCGCAGGGTGAGTAGGGTGTGTAAAACTAGAGAATCCAGTAATCTGGCTAAGGAGTTTCTGTTTCTTGCTTTCAAGTTAGAGCTCTGAACCCTGGAAAATAAAAAAAGCAGGAGCATGCCAGAGCTAGACTACTGTCCTTAAGGCCTTTCTCCTCATCCCTTAGGGCTCACGCCATCTAGGTCTAGAATAAACAAGGCTAATTAATTAATGCCTTATTAACCCTTCCTGTCCCTTTCTCTCTGATGCTTCCTTGGTTAATTACCCTAACAGACAACAAGAGCTAGAGTGGGATTAACAAAAGGAAAAGTGTTCTGAGGGTCTGAAGTGGTTATGGGGGGGTGGGGGCGGTATGAAGGAAAACAGGGCTCAAATGAGTCAGGTGTTCTGAATCCTGGCTCCTACCCAGCTCAGGTAATGAGCCCTGGTTAACCCAAATATGCAGAGAACCAAACTTAGTAGACTTCATAGAAAGAATGCAGAGGGTGGGTGGAAGAACACATGGCTCTGGGGTCCTAGGCTGACCCACTCACTTACCAAACTGAAAGTTGTAGTGGGCAAGCTGGGCCCGGCGGACTTTCCTGCTGAGGGTCAGTCCAGAGTCAGCATCCAGGTCGCTGGCCAGTCCTGCAGCCTGCAGGCTCTGTTGTGCCTGGGACAGAGGTTTGGTGACAGGAAGTTAACGTACTGGAATGCTGAGGAGCTAGAGCAATCTGATGCCACTCATCCTCAATCCCCCCATCTGTTCCTCCTTCCCCTGCCTCGGTGTTCTCCAGTTCTGACAACCTCTCCACGTCTCATCTCTACACTGAGCCCTCCTCCCCATCACCACCCCCTTCCCAACGACTTTTCTGTCTGCTTCCTACTCGAGATGAGCCCTCAGTTATTCCCTGGACTTCGCCTGCTTCTAGCCACAAGTGCTCAACTCTGGTACTGCCAGTTCTCTCTAGGAAGCAAAAATGAAGCCAACATTTCCCCAAGCCCACTTTTGTGCCAAGTGCTCTGTTGGCAGTGTTTAACGTCTGTTAATGTAACTTTTACACATCTCCACAAGGCAGAGATTAGTCTCATTTTTTTAGATGTGGAATTTTCAGCATATAGGAAGGGGCCACTGAAACCCAGTCCTGTGGCTCCAAGTGCTATGCCCGTTCCACCACCCTGCACGGCCTCTTCCTACCCACTGTGGGCACCAGACTCCCTACTGGTCCTGCTTCTGCCCCTTTTCTTGGCCCCAACTCCTCACCTCCCTGGCATATTCCTCTTGCTCAGTCCTCACAGGGATGACCACCACCTGGAACGGAGATAGCCAAAGTGGCCTGGTTGGGAGAGAACAGATGAGGGCAAATTATTCATTCTGGCTCTGGCCACAAGTGTGGCTGCAGGGAGCGGATTTGAGAAGGAAAGAGAAGCTGGCATATGAAGGGGGAACAGGATCCGGAGCATGAACGATCTGGTCTGAGGGCCAGAACAGAAATCCAGGGTCAGTGGTCTCACCATTTTCCCCCACAGCTTTCTGCCAGCACTCCCAACAGCCTTTCCACAGAACCGAGCACTGCTCGGTGAATGAGGACTGGACGCTCCAGGGCCCCCGCCTGCCTTGGAAGGAAAAAGGGGAATAGGTGGAATGGCAGAAGTGTCACAAATTGTGCACCCAAGATCACCTTCCAGTTTTCAAGAAATATGCAGCTCTGGCAGGGGAGAGCATGGAGGATTTGGTTTAAGTTTTTAGGGTCCAAGGTAGAGGGGGAGCTGTAGACCTATTCCATGGGCTATTGAGGGAAAAAGGGATGGGGCAACGGTCCATACCCCTTGAACTGGAGGTCAAATCTCAAGGGCAGTTGGAAGTCAAGCTGGATTGTCCCACACTGATGGGGCCGACCCAGGGCATCGTGGAGGTGCACATCAATCTAGAGGAGACAGATGGGAGGCATGAGAGCAACCAGAACCAGAACCCGCCGTTATCCACGCCATCCCACCCTTTAACTTACCCGTGATCCAGGCTGTTTGAAAAGTCATGTCACCCACTGTACCATACTCTACCCATCTACCTCACTCTGCTTCACTTGCTCTGAACCACTTGCAGTGGTTCTCAACAGCTCTCTCCACTTAATAATGGTGTTATAATATTAGGGGACGTCCATACGCTGGCCTCTCAATTGCTTGAGCTCCTCATCTCAGACACCTTCACCCCCAGCCACACTGTGGCTACACACCCTTCATCCTATCATTTCCCCCAAGGGCTGTACCTCTGAAAACGGTCCACCAAACACCCCACTCTGATTACTGTTTCTTGGTCTGCCAGATGTGACAATTATTCCTACTACTCACTCTTCGACCCGCAGATTCCTTAATTCTTTTTTCCTTCCCAGACCCCTCCCACCTCTGTTTCTTTCCCCATGCAGCTGTAACCATTCTCCCTGGTTCCTCTTGTACCGATAGTTGTTCTTCCATCACATCCACCTGGCAACCCCCACCCTGGCAGCCCCTTAGCTTCCTACCTGGAATAGAACTGCTTATTGCTGCCCAACATGTCACATACCACACAGATGCAAAAGCAGAGGTTGATGGCACCATGAAAGTTACTGTTTCGAGACTGAACTAGTCCCTTGCTGCTGCCACCAACCTTTTGGCTGCATTAATTGGCTCTCTGCCCCGTTCTCCTCAGGGATTTTCAAGATTTCTCTTCTCTTTCTCTTTTTAAAAATGGTATCTTAGCAAACAATTTATTAGATTGATTTAACATAATATACTTTATCATTGACTATAATCTCTGTAACCCTGAGCATACTGTTTAGCCTCTCTGAACCTTTTTCTTCTTAGTAACATAAATATTTTACTTTCCTAGTATTATTGCTGAAATTGACGAATAAAACACATTTTCATTACTCTTTCATATTTTCATTGACTATTTATTGAGCAGCTAAATAAATACCATGCGCTAGAGCAGACATTTGGGACATAAAAATCAGGAATATACACATTACCCCAGCATAGTGCAGAGCAGTTATTGAGCACCCAAAAGAGTTCACCTGTATGGTTCATATAATAGTTTCTGAGTAATTTCCTCTCTCTCCATGTCTTCATCCCACTCACTGACAACTCTCCTCTCCCCCACTCCCAAATCAGCAAATGATTCTGCCTCCTACCTCATGGAGAATTCACATAATTGATATCATGGGATGAGAAAATACCTCGACTTCTTGTCACCACACCTGTAAACTTCCTTGCATCTACCCTCAGCCTTTCCTTCCACTACAGATACAATGGCAATGGTGGTCCCTTCTGTGAAGGGCTCTCAAGCACACCCCAACCCTCCCAAGGAAATTCCTTCTACTGTAACCCCTTCTCTCAAAACTTCCATTTCTCTCTCCAAAATAGGCTTCCTCTCATCATAGCATTTAAACATTCTCAAATCTTTCCCTTCATAAAAATCTGTCTTTTGATTACTTAGGTCCCTTCAGTTACACTCTTTTGCCTTTATAAGAGCCAAACTTCTTGAAAGAGTTATATTCATTCATTCACTGCTGTCTGACTCCACCCTCAGGTCCCACGTTACTGAAAATGGTCCTTCAAAACCTAATAGCCCGGGCGT